GTTGCAGGATACATTTGTCTCTACTCTGTTGTTAGATACATTGATCTCCATATACATAGCCTTTTAAGATAAATAACAATGGATGTATGTACTGGTTAATAAAATATAATGAAATTTGTCATAGTTGTGTATATGATACATAACTATGAACATGATTCATACTGATTTATGTTTGAAATAATTGAGGTTATGTATCAATAATAAGATTTGTACACGTTACATTGTACACAAACAATGTTATAATATATCTGATATTTGAAACACATGTTACATAAGTAACGAAACAAAAGATGGAAGAAACTGATGATACATGGCGAAATTGTAGGCTTGAATTTAGGGGAGTTAAGTGTGGAGTGGGGAGAATGTGAGGGATGTATCCGAGGTTAGGCGAGAGAAGGAAAAAAGATATTTTTATAATTTTTTAAGTGGTCAGGAATACTAGTGATTATGGTATCTTAAGTTGTATATTTATGTAATTTTTCTTAAAATTTATGGTTATTTATTCAACCAAATTCATTTTAAATGAGTTGGTTATCCAATCATTTGAAAATGGTCCAAATATGGATCAACTCATAATCTTCATCATAAAATACAAATAATTCATGGGTATATATCCACCAATTGCACTCCCCTTAAAGTATGTAAGGGCGTAGGAATCTTTTTTTTATTATAAAAATTTGGATAACACACTGCAGGGTCATTTGGGGATGATACTTTCAACATGATTTTCTTCATACTCAGGGCTCAAATCTGAGACCTCTGATTAAGGAAGGAGCAGTCCCACCACTGCACCACAATCCGTGTCGGCTGGTGTAGGAACCTCTAAAATATACATTTATTAAGGATGTGTTTCGCATGAAGGAAAATATTTAAAATATTTTTCAATTTTCTTATGTTTGGTTAGTTTTGAATCTTTTGATAAATGTTTTTTTTAAATGATTTTTTTTTCTTTTAATTTAAGAAAAATGACTTTCATGCCTAAGGAAAAGATATTTCAAAACTTTCCTTAAATTAGGAATATATTTTTTTAAATATTCCTTAAACATCACTACCCGAAATTGGTCTAGAATTAGGATTCCACTTCTAACCCCGACCCAACTCCTGACCACGAACGAAGACCCAAATTTTGACCACCCAACCTTGACTCAAGACACTAATTTTTCAAAAAAATATGAAAATATTTTCTTTCATACGAAAGACATCCTAGAAGGAGAAAAAAAAATTCAAAAAAATCTTGTAATATAGAAATACATATTTATTTGGGTTAATACCTCAGATGGTCACTCAACTATCCACTTTTGCTTCAGAAAGTCACTCAACTTTTAATTTTCACTAAAAAGTCACCATGTGAGTGACTTTCTGAGGAAAGACTGGATAGTTGAGTGACCATCTGAGGTATTAACCCATATTTATTTTGCATAATAAGAAGCAATGAATAATATGGATGAGTTTACTCATTTTAATTCATGTCAAATATGGGTTGGGATCAAATATTTTATTCGTTTTCATCTGACTTATTTTTGACCAACTCATATATCTGACTCGACTTACCCGTTTATCACCCTTAGACGCAGTATATCTTCATTGTGATGCGTTCCTTAAATCATTACAAATAAATTTGATCCCAAATTTCATTTTCAATGTACCTATAAAGTAAAAATGCAATATTAGGCACAACTCACTATAAGTAACTACACTCAAACCACGATTAAAAGTATTTATAAATAAAATGATGAATTATGAAAACATGTTAGATAGTACTTTATCTGTTTCAATTTATTTGTTTTACTTATTCTAATAAATCTGTTTAAAAAGAATGTCTTTTTTATTTAGGCATGTGAAGAAGAAATTAAATGCTCCATTGAGGAAGTGTGAGAGGTTGGATATAGTGAGTACGATCGAATAGAGGTAGAGGTAGGTTGAAAAAAATACTGGAAGAGGTGATTAGACAGGACACGATAAAACTTCAGCTTACTGAGGACATGACCATAAATAGGAGGGTGTGAATGTCACAAATTAGAGTAGAATATAATGCTAGTATGTAGTGAACTAACGTCTTTCTTCTTGACGGGTTAAGGTTTGGTGGTGTCTGCCCTAGTGATAGCTTTATTCTTGTAGTGTCTTGTTTTCTATTTTCTGTCAGCATTTGTTATTTATGGTGTTTCGATTAGTGCTTTATTATGTTGTTGTTACTATTTTCGTATTAATTGCTATGCTTTCTTAAGTATCGTTTTCCCTTTTCACTTACTTTGATTTGTTATACTCGAGCCGAGGGTCCTCTGAAAGCAACCTATCTACCGCTATGAGATAGTGATATGGTATGCATACAATCTACCCTTACACCTCACTTGTGGAATTTCACTGAATATATTATTGTTGCTGTTGCATAAACTAACATGTTGTCTTTTATCTACTATATTTAAAGGAATTAAATAGTATTTATTCATGGAGTAAATAATTTTATATTATCAACTATTTTGCTATAATACATGGCTTAAATTATGAATCAATTATTAATTTTGAATTGATATTTAGAATTTGTTGTTTAGTTTATTCTAAATTATAGCGTGAAAAGGTAAAATAGAAGCTTTTTTGAGTTAGCTATTTTAAATAGCGGTAAACATCAATTTGGGAAAAGCATTTTAGGTGCTCATTTGAATTTCTTTTTGGATAAAACTTACCTGGATGTATACACCAATCCAATAAATGCATGCCATGTGTTTAAATTTATAGTTCATTTTACTTGACCTTAATTAATTAACATGTGTTTTACTTCATTAAATCATATAATAATAGAAATTGCATTAGTTTGGTGTAAACATCCGGTGCGGATAAGTTTTTTCCTTTTTTTTTTTGTTAATAATAAATAGTTATGTTGGAGAGAGGTACTAAAATTAAATAAGGCCCCAATTAATAATAAATAGTTTGTGTTAGAGATAAAATAAAAGTTAATAAACATTTCTTCTACTAAAAATATTGAAACATCGTCAAAACAATATGCTTAACAACAGTACCTTTTAAATAAATCTAAACACAAATTATTATTATTTTTAAAAATATTTTTCTGAAAAAATTATTTTAATAAAAGAGTTTACAAAAATAAATAAACTTAAACTTATAGGTTAAACAACCCGTAAGTTCAACATACTAATGACGTAAAAAAAACATATTCAAATAAAGTTAATCATTAGATAAATATCTTGATAAGCCATAATTAAGAAGGAAAAAAAATAATCTACAAACACTTTTTAATTTACCTAAACACTTCAAAAGTAGGGGTGTGCATTCGGTTTTTTGGTTTGGTTTTACACTATTCGGTTTGGATTTTCGGTTTTTGGTTTTGTAAAAAGTGTAACCAAATCCGATCCAAAATAAATTTGGTTTGGATTGGTTTTCCTCTATTCGGTTCGGCTTTTTTCGGTTTGGTTATTCGATTATGTCAATAATTAATAACATATATAACCAAAGTAATAATATTTAATCCCTTAAATATACTTTCTAATATAAATCATGAGTAAAACTTAAAACACAATACTTACAACTATACCTATTATAGATGTAATTCAAACATAAAATATAAACGTAATCATCACGAAAGACAATAACCAAAAAGGGACAAAAGTGGTTGACTCCAACTTAATTCTAAACCTAAACATTAATTATTTATATATATATATATATATATATATATATAAATTCAGTTTTTTTCAATTTTTCGGTTTTTATTTTTTAAAATTCGAAACCAAAAAACCAAACAAAGTAATTTATTAATCCAAAACCAATCCGAAAAACCAATCCAAATAAAAATTCGGTTTAATTTGGTTTGGTTATTCGATTTAATCCGAATAGTGCACACCCCTATTCAAAAGTACTTAAAATTAATTTCACTTACAAATACTTAAAACAAGTCAATTCAAACATACTCTATTACTCTTAATCAAACACCATCACGATATTCTCAGGGTCATTGGTGCAAGTCGAAATTTTTTTGAGGTTTTTTTTGTATTGTTTATGTTTTTTTTTTCCGGCAATTTTGGGGCATTTACGTAATATTTTGCCATTTTCGGGCAGTTACGAAAAGAAGTAAAGTTTTGTTCTCTTATTCATCACGATATTCTAAGGTCATTGGTGCAAGTCGAAATTTTTTTGAGGCGTTTTTTGTATTATTTATGTAATATTCTTGATTTTTCGGCCATTTTGGGACATTTCCGTAATATTCAGCAATTTTCTAATAGTTACAAAAAGACGTAAAATTTTGTTCTATTATTCGTCATAATATTCTAAGGTCATTGGTGCAAGTCCAAATTTTTTTCTGAAAAATTATTTCAATAAAAGTGTTTACAAAAGTAAATAAACTTATAGGTTAAACACCCCCGCAAGTTCAACATACTAATGACTTAAAAAAACATATTCAAATAAAGTTAATCATTAAATAAATATCTTGATAAACCAAAATTAAGAAGAAAAATCTACAAACACTTTTTAATTTATCTGAACACTTCAAAAGTACTTAAAAATTAATTTCACTTACAATTACTTAAAACAAGTCAATTCAAATATACTCTATTACTCTTAATCAAACACCGTCCAAGTTCAATGTACTAATAATGTAAAAAAATCATTAAATAAATTTCTTGATAAACCATAATTGGTAATCTAATTACTCATTTTCTTAATTCATAAAGAAAAAAATCTATACACTTTTTTAATTCACCCAAAAACTTTAAAAGTACTTAAAACTCATTTTTTCTTAAAAAGTACTTTAAGTAATTTAAACAAACTCATAATCAAACATCGTCCAAGTTCAATGTACTAGTTCGTGAAAAAAATAAAATCAATAGGAAACACATTTTCAATAAAACATTTAAAATTCAAATCTCACAGTGTTTGACCAAATTCGATTTTGTTACCAAATTTTGTAAAAAATAAATATTTTTCCATAGGTAGCTTTAAAAAAAACACAGCATAAATATATGATGATAATAATAATAATATAATAAAATATTGAATAATATTTACAAAAACTGAATTTTGACCATGATAAGAGTGAACCATTCATCTAGTAGCGAAGAAGAAGAAGAAATGGCGAGATTTTCAGTTGGAAGAGAAGAAGATGATAATGATGAAGGACCCAGTAACCCCACAAGAAGACCTGAACCCAAGAGACGGAGAACTACCGCCGGAACTTTCTCTTGTAGCGCCGTTATCCGTCAACAAGAAGAAGAAGAAGAAGAAAGAGAAAGGGAAAGGGAAAGGGAAAGAGTTGTTGAGGAAGAAGTAGAGGAGGATGCAGAGGAGGAGGCAGAGGAGGAGGCAGAGGATTGGGGATCAGAATCGGAATCTGAGGGAAATTTCCGATCGAGCGGTGATCGGAGAGTGCCGGTTCGTGAATCGGAGGTTTCAAGAGAGAACAGGTCCATTTCTGTGGAGGACCCAGACCAGAATTTGGAGGGTTCAAGAGGAAACGGGTCAATTTCTGTGATGTTATCGGATCCGGATGTGTTGGATTGCCCAATCTGCCTCGAACATCTCCGTGTTCCAATCTTTCAGGTTTCTTCTTTTTACCCTTTTCATTGCTATTAGGAGTACAAGAATTTATCTGTTGGAATTAATTGTGTTTGGAGAATTCTTGATTTGCCTTGGAGGTTTTTGAATGAAATGGTCTTGAATAGAAGGGAATTCATATTGACATTTATAATCTGACCCATATAGTTTATTGCTCTAAAGGAGGTGTAAAAGTTGCCTTTTTTGTTAATCCAACAGGTGGGGTTTGGGAGGATAGAGTTTACGGAGACTTTAGCCCTACCTGGTGGAGGCATGTCAGATAATAGAGATATGATTACTTAGCATTCAGTATTGCATTGAAAGAGCTTAGGAAATGTGGATCTGTTAAAGAGTTTAGTTGGGAGAATTGCTGACAGAGGAATGACTACTTTAGGTGTTTATCCCATCTCATGTGGTTTGAATTTTGAAGTTATAACATTTCATTCAAATTGGAGAATAACTGGCTAGTGTAGGTCTTTGTTTTACTGCTGAAGTCATAGTCTTAATGTCGTAATATTCAAGTTAGAGGAATCACTAGGGTATGGTGGTGGAGTATAACAAGACACTTAAAGTGGGTAGAGGGCTACCAGATTCCGATTAGAGATAACAAATGGGTATCATTGTATCCCGATTTAATGTGGGCTTAAGTTACTCTGTAATTAGGCTCTCTTCTTCCCTAAAGGTTATTGTTGTGTTTGCTAAGATCCCTAATACCCAGACCTCCCTGTTCCTCTGGTAATATGACTTTGACCTCCCATAAATAGATATCCCTGCCCATAGGAATGCCCTTCTCAGACCAATTAATTGCTCTTTCACCTCCCATAAATAGATATTGCATGTTCTCCACCTTTTCCACCACTCCATTCCGTATCTCAGGTGCTTTGTATTTTGCACCCAAATAAGTAGAGTGGAAAGATCATGTGTCATACCCCAGAATTCCGTGCCAGGGTATTCAAATTTTAGACTTCATTGATAGGGTAGATCTTGTTCTTCATCATGTTAATATGTAGTCCAGAGACAACTTCAAATAGCATGAGAGTTAGATTGAGATGTAGAACTTGGAGAGTCTCTGCCCCACAAAAGATTTGGGTATCATCAATGATAGAAGTTATTAACTGGTTACTATTCCTTTGTTGGAGATCTATCTGATAGAAGTCATTAACTGTTTACTATTCCTTTGTTGGAGATCTATCTGATAGAAGTCATTAACTGTTTACTATTCCTTTGTTGGAGATCTATCTGATAGAAGTCATTAACTGTTTACTATTCCTTTGTTGGAGATCTATCTGATAGAAGTCATTAACTGTTTACTATTCCTTTGTTGGAGATCTATCTGATAGAAGTCATTAACTGTTTACTATTCCTTTGTTGGAGATCTATCTGATAGAAGTCATTAACTGTTTACTATTCCTTTGTTGGAGATCTATCTGATAGAAGTCATTAACTGTTTACTATTCCTTTGTTGGAGATCTATCTGATAGAAGTCATTAACTGTTTACTATTCCTTTGTTGGAGATCTATCTGATAGAAGTCATTAACTGTTTACTATTCCTTTGTTGGAGATCTATCTGATAGAAGTCATTAACTGTTTACTATTCCTTTGTTGGAGATCTATCTGATAGAAGTCATTAACTGTTTACTATTCCTTTGTTGGAGATCTATCTGATAGAAGTCATTAACTGTTTACTATTCCTTTGTTGGAGATCTATCTGATAGAAGTCATTAACTGTTTACTATTCCTTTGTTGGAGATCTATCTGATAGAAGTCATTAACTGTTTACTATTCCTTTGTTGGAGATCTATCTGATAGAAGTCATTAACTGTTTACTATTCCTTTGTTGGAGATCTATCTGATAGAAGTCATTAACTGTTTACTATTCCTTTGTTGGAGATCTATCTGATAGAAGTCATTAACTGTTTACTATTCCTTTGTTGGAGATCTATCTGATAGAAGTCATTAACTGTTTACTATTCCTTTGTTGGAGATCTATCTGATAGAAGTCATTAACTGTTTACTATTCCTTTGTTGGAGATCTATCTGATAGAAGTCATTAACTGTATACTATTCCTTTTTTGGAGATCTATCGTGATAGAAGTTTTTAACGGTATACTATTCTTCTGTTTGAGATCTGTCATGATAGAAGTTATTAACTGTACGCTATTCCTTTGTTGGAGATCTATCGTGATAGAAGTTATGTACCTAGGCCTCTTTTTAGAACTCTTGGTTTTAGCTCACTGTAACTTCAGATTTAATCTTGTTACTGCATTTGAAGGCATAGACAACTGAGATTCAGATCCTAAGATCTACATCCTTCTCCTTGCCAGGGTGGTTAATTTCTGTCTTTTTTCATCTAAGAGTTGCAGAACAGCCACAATGGTTTTACTCTAAGGTAGAATATAGCTATTGGTAATCAATTTGTTGTTATTACAACAAAATATGACATTTTAATGCATGAGCATGTTTAATGAAATTATTGAGTGTTTTGAACTAAGCAAGAAATGATGAAGAGCAGGACTCTAGAGATGTGATAAATGCTAATATGAAAGGCTAAGTAGTGAAGTGAAAGTGGATGTATGAGCCTTTTGGACCAAGCAAGAAATTAAAGCCATGACTCTAGGTTTATACAAAAAGCTAAATAGTGAATTTTAAGTGCAATTTGTTTATGCTTTCCATGTAACACATTTTGCTTTTTCCCTACTTCTTAAGCTGTGTACTTTGAGAAACCTTGAAATTTATAAGCAAGCAGAGTGGAGTAAGCTGTCATCTGCAAACATTCAAACTGCTTACTATGAACATATCTTCTGACATTCTTTTATCTTTCTGGACAAAAATATAGTGTGAGAATGGGCACATAGCATGTGCCTCCTGCTGCACCAAGATTGCTAATAAGTGTCCATCATGCTGTTGGCCAATTGGATATAACCGTTGTCGAGCTATGGAGAAGGTTGTAGAATCTGTGAAGGTCTCATGCGTGAACAAAATGTATGGTTGCAAGGAGATCCTGAGTTATAGTAAGAAAACTGACCATGAAAATGCATGCATCTATGTGCCTTGTTCTTGTCCTTCCCATGGCTGTGACTTTATAGGTACCTCAACAAACGTATATGCACATTTTAGCGACAAACATGCTTCTTCGGCAGAGCACATTTTTTTCAATGCTGTCCATCCAATTCATATTGAAAAAGATCAAAGTTACAAAATTCTTCAAATGAGGACAGAAGGTATACTTTTTATCATCAACCATGCTAGCGACCGTGTTGGAAGTGCTTTCAACATTATCTGTGTTGGACCAAGTAGGCAGAAGAGAAGGTTCTCGTACAAGCTTGTAGTAACAGACGGGGAAAGCTCCTTTAAACTAGAATCTGTTGCAGAGTGCATCCCAAACTGGTCAGAAAATAGTCCTTTGAAAAAATTCCTCGTGGTCCCAAGAGACGTCGTTAATTCCAGTGCTCCGCTGAAGTTGAATGTTTTCATAGAAGAGAAGGAATACGTCTGCAATGGTTGCAGATGTTGATGTAATCTTATTTTATCATGTCTTGGCTTGTTCATACCTTGCTAACTTCTTTAGAAATTTTATGTCAAATAGTTATTGGATTGGTGCTGCTATATTTGGGGATTTGAATTTGTGCTGTTGAATGTCAAAGGGTTTTGAATATTATGTTTGATATTGTTATGCTAGAGTAGTTTGTTTAGCCTTGCTTCTTAAATCAGCTTGTTCCCAAAAGTGTTTATTTCAAAATTGCTTTGTTAAAATGTACTTCTTACCGAGAAGTAGTTTGTGTTTGGTCAATAAATTTTAGATGCACTTTTAAAAGTGTTTCTAAATATATTTTTCTCTAAACTGAATTCGAATGCCAAATATGTTAGTAAGTATTTCTAAATTAATTTTTCTCTAAATTGGTAGTACTTTTGGGTAATGCAGGTGGTAACAACAAAGGAAATGACCAACATAGGTTGTGGTGCAAGCACCACCATTGAATGGATCCTACAATGTGTGATCTAAATTTAATCAAACTATAATACGAATTTCAAACACCAAATAAAAAAACCAAAAAATAGAAAAAGAAAAACAACAAAAGAAACGGGCTAAACCCGGTGCCCGATTGTACTCTTCCTCTTTACCGATGAAAAAAATCAAATTAAAGCAAAGAACCTAAAGGTACAACCCTAATCAGCACAAAAACGAACGCCTGAATTCCCCGGAGGCCGACGAGTTCGCCCCCATCTAGTCGTCGATCAACTTCCGTCACCGTTCATAGCTGCCGGAATCCTAGTATAATTGACATGGTTGAGGTTGAGGCTGAGGCTTCTCCACCTGATCTCACCACACAATGACAATGGTTTCAATTCTCAATTTCCTTCGATTTTTCATCTTGCTTTGTGCCTTATATTACCTTATATTTTGTTGTTTTACAGTCAATTTTCGATTTCTTTGTTTTTGCCGAACAGCAGCAACCACTTATTGTTCATCAAGGATCATTTGGTTCTCTTTCAGTTTAAAATAGCTTAAACTTTGAAGTTTCTCTTTTATGTTTTAATGAAATGATGTATAGCCATGCAAATGTCTAAGGCTTGTTTTTAGACTACCAATTGGGATGAAGGAGTAGGCAACTGCTAAACTGTTTGGAAGAGGGAAAACAGAGTTCCTGAATGTTACTGCACCAATTGGTACTTTTAGAACCTACTGTAATCCTACAACTGGGTCTGGAGAGGATAATATGTGCGCAACCTTACACCTATCTTTATGGGTAGAGAGGTTGTTTCGATCGACAATCGGCAATCCTCCTTTATCCGGGCTTGGGACGGGAAATTTGAGCCAGCTCACACAGGTGAAGTTGTAGTGAACAGAGCACAAGACATTTATATCACATTTAAAAGATGATGTAGGAAAATGGAACAATCTAATCTGGGTACGGTATATTTAGTCATTTGTGCCTGAATGTATGATAGTCCAGGTTTTCTTTCGTGGAGTTATTGACTTGTCGAAGTACTAGTGGGCTTCTAAAGAGACTGAGGATATCTACCATGTAAAAATGATAACTTTGTCTATAAAGTAAGGACATGATATATCAAAGTGCAAGTATCAGCTCTGCTTGGCTGTTTTGTATTGGACTATCAGCATATTTCACTCCATTACATGGTTTAATAGCATATCAGTCACAAAACAAATGCACTGTTTATTGAGGAAATTGGCAGTATGAAGAAACTGACATTGAGGAGTAGCTGAATCTTCACGAATTAGCAGTACGAAGAAGCCTAACATTTAGGAGTGTATGCATAATACTGCAGCCGGCTTGCAGACATGTTTTCAGCTGATGCTGTAGTTGGGAGCATCATAGCATATAACAGTCACATTTTCTAAATGTGGTAAAATGTTCATTTGCTGTACAGTCAAAATAGTTCATTTTTTTTTCGGATTCTATGTGCTTTGGTATCATCTTCGTGATTTGACTCGTTTGTAACATTGTTGGCCTTGTGGAGTTTTAGCATACATGTTTTCGTGTTCTTTTATTTTAAGGTGGATGGTTATTATAGGTAACTGAATTTCTCCATTCTTTAATTTTAAGGTGCCTAGTGAAGGAGAATTTGCAACGGGGAAGAGGATGGATCAAGGTATTAGTGAACCTGAAGGGAGTAGAAAAAAGAAGAAAAAGCAAGTAGCCACTCCTCATCCTACTTGCTCTTGGGTGCACTTGAGGTGACATGTTTATTTGAGTAAATAATCTTTGTAACTTGTTTATCTAATTTCCACTGCTTTTGAACCACCATGTTCTGCTAACACTGAGAATAATATTTGCAGCTGTGGCTTTATTAAAAAGCATAGTGCTACAACACATCCTGAATCTTTAGGCCTGAAAGCTGTAAGAATCTATTTCTATGTATGAAATGCCTTAGTGCACACCTGTTTGTTACACTCAAGCTAACGTAAGAGCACATCACTTTTCAGGCCACAGAGATGGAAGCTGATGGGTCCTGAGGAGAAGGTAAAGTACACTACTCGTGCCTGCAAAGTGTGGGATAAGTACCTGAGCAGGTTAAACTCCCCCGAATGTTTTCTTTATATGATGATGAAACTGGCAACTCTAAGAATGTTTAATATCTTTGACTTCTTATGTCCAACTTTATTGATTTTCAGTTAACGCTTCCGCTTCTCTATATGTGATATTGTCGTCTGCTTCAGGTTGTTCTCTGTAACATCTTTTGATAAGATTACCATGTTTAAGATCCTTATATGCATTAAGTTTATGTGATAGCATGAACACCTGTGCTTAAAGCTTATGTTTACATGTATTTCTTTGGTTAATTCCGATCCATTGATGACATTCGTTCCTTTGTCATTAACTCTGATCATGTCAGTGATATTCTTAGGTGATTTTGGAGTTGTTTGGTGTGACTCTAATATGATGCTAAAATCTCTAAAAACACGTCGCTAATCAATCTATTTATACACTGCACCAAAAAAAGAAAGTCATAATAAAATCCTAACTTGTTCATCAAATTACAAATAGAAAGCTTACACATATATGTAACAAAAGATATAACTAAATTTATAATACATAAACATGACCTGTAACTTGGTGGCAGCTGACAACTATGACCTTTAACTTTGGGTGTGTATAAGTAGACACTTAAACTTGTATAAAATTGAACAAATAGACACATTCGTCCTACATGGCATCCTATATGACAATTTTGTGTCCTATGTGGCGTCCTACGTGTATTATGTCACATAGGACACGTGTGTCTACTTGTTCAATTTTATACAAGTTTAAGCGTTTACTTGTGCACACTCAAAGTTGGAGGGCATAGTTGTCCGCTGAAGCCAAACTAATGGTCATGTTTATGTATTATGCCTTACATTTAATATACACCTTTAATGTGTGAAAAGACTTGTAAAAATACAATATGATACGAAGGATAATACATATTTTCCCCTTTTTCTCAGTGATATTTATGTGATAATTCAAAGTTGAATGACTATCGGTAAAATTTACTCTTACATAATTTAACATGTTTGGGCATGTGAAGATTAGATGCACAAATGCTCCATTGAGGAGGTGAGAGAGGTTGGATATAGTGAGTACGATCAAAGAGAGATAGAGGTAGGTCGAAAAAGTACTTGGAAGAGGTGATTAGACGGACACAACAAAACTTCAACTTACCGAGGACATGACCTTAGATAGGAGGGTGTGGAGGTCACAAATTAGAGTAGAAGGCTAGTAGGTAGTGAAGTGTTGTCTTGCTTCTCGACGGGTTAGGTTTGGTGGTTCCGCCCTAGCGTTAGCTTTATTCTTGTAGTGTCTTGTTTTTTTATTTTCTATCACCATTTGTTATTTATGGTGTTTCAATTATTGCTTTATTTTGTTATTGTTACTATTTCTGTTTTAGTTGCTATGTTTTTTTCATTGTCGATTTCCCTTTTCACTTACTTTGATTTGTTATACTCAAGCCGAGGGTCCTCCGAAAACCTCTCTACCTTCACGAGATAGTGATAAGGGATGCATACAATCTACCTTCATACCTCACTTGCGGGATTTCACTGAATACATTATTGTTGTTGCATAAACTAACATATTATCTTTTATCTACTATATATTTAAAGGAATTAAATAGTATTTACTCATAGAGTAAAGAATTTTATATTATTAATTAATTTTTGATGACATATTACTTAAATTATGAATCAATTATTAAATAAGAATTAATGTTTAGGATTATTTTTTTTCAAGGCAAAGTACTCTACAATTTATACATTTTTACTAATATATCCCTTCTTAATTAGTTAGCATATCTCATAAGTTTGGTCAAGTTTCATGTTAGAATTTATCCTTCATCTACACAATATTTTATTTTATTTTACATTTTATATATTACTATTTTATATTTTAACTTGTGGAATATTTTTTTAATTTATTTGACTTGATGTTTTTAATTATATTTAAATCATCATGTTAATATTTTTGTTTGATTTATCTATTGAAAATTTATAATATGTACTTTTAATCAAATAAACATAAAAAATTAATTTATAATTTTATAATGGCAAAAGTACTCATTACCCCTCTGAACTTGAAGCTTTTTATATGGTGTACACCTAAACTAAATTCCGTTTTAATTACCCCCGAACTTGTTTATTCCTTCATCGCGTACACCTTTTTCGTCCACCTGCTCCTATTGTGACTACATGCGCGCGACAGCTGGCAAAAAGTGGTGATGTGGATTTCCACCCGGATAAATAATAGCCACCTAGATAAATTAATATTGCAAAAAATAAATTTCTTAAATTTAAAATTCATTGTTTAAAAGTTATTTTTGAATAAGGGCTGATTTCGCGGAACTCCTTGAATTTCAAATTTGTCAAAAAATTTTACCAAATAAGTGTTAATCTTTGTTTCCTTTACTTTTCATTTACATTTTGCCCTATTTTTCGTTTAAAATATGCCAAATATTAAAGAAAAAATGGAGATTTTACGTGTTTTTACCGTTGTAGCTTTGTGATGTGGCAAAAAATCACTTCCTCACGCGCTTAGTAGAGTGTGTTGTCAATTTCTACGCCAGGTGGACAAAAAGGTGTACGCGACGGAGGAATTCGGGGGTAATTAAAATGGAATTTAGTTTAAGTGTACACCGTATAAAAAGCTTCAAGTTCAGGGGGTAATGAGTACTTTTGCCTTTTATAATAGATATTCAAACTAGTTTTTTTTTTTTTTATATAAAATAATCTTAATATTAAAAGTGCATTGGTAACTGTCCTTTTCATAATTTGACTCTCAAAAATACTTTTTAAAAAATATTAAAAGTGCTTAAAAAAATAAACATTTTCTAGCTGCTTGGCCAAATAGGTCAAACACCCTGCAAGTTCAATGTACTAATGACATTAAAAAACATAATTCAAATTAAGTTAGTCATTAAATAAATTCTTGATAAATTATAATTGGTAATCTAATTACTCATTTTCTTAATTCATGAAGAATAAAAATCTATCAACTCTTTTTAAATTTATCCAAACACTTCAAAACTGCTTAAAAATTATTTTCACTTGAAAACACTTAAAACAAGTCAATCCTAAAGACTCTTAATCAAACACCGTCCAAGTTCAATGTACTAATGACAAAAAAATATATTCACATAAAGTTAAGCATTAAATAAATTTCTTAGTAAACCATAATTGGTAATCTAATTACTCATTTTCTTAATTCATGAAGCAAAAAAATAATCTATAAACACTTTTTTAATTTACCTAAACACTTCAAAAGTGCTTACAAATTTTTTAGTTAAAAACACTTAAAACAAGTCAATTCAAACACACTCATAATCAAACACCTTCCAAGTTCAATGTACTAATGTGACATAAAAAATACATATTCAAATAAAGCTAATCATTAAATAAATTTCTTGGTAATCTGATTACTCATTTTCTTAACTCAAAAAAATAAAATCTATACAACTTATTTATAAATTAAATAAAACTATTATACCTCATAGTCAAACACTTTTTCAAGAAAACATTTAAATTCAAATCTCATTGTATTTGACCAAATTCGATTTTGTTACCAAATTTTGCAAAAACATAAATATTTTTCCATAGGTAGTTTCAAAGAAATAGTATAAATATATGATAATAATAATGATATAATAAGATATTGAAATAATATTTACAAAAACCGAATTTTGACCATGATAACAGTGAACCATTCATCTAGTAGCGATGAAGAAGATCATGATGAAGAAGAAGAAGAAGAAGAAGAAGAAGAAGAAGAAGAAGAAGAAGAAGAAGAAGAAGAAGAAGAAGAAGAAGAAGAAGAAGAAGAAGAAGAAGAAGAAGAAGAAGAAGAAGAAGAAGAAGAAGAAGAAGAAGAAGAAGAAGAAGAAGAAGAAGAAGAAGAAGAAGAAGAAGAAGAAGAAGAAGAAGAAGAAGAAGAAGAAGAAGAAGAAGAAGAAGAAGAAGAAGAAGAAGAAGAAGAAGAAGAAGAAGAAGAAGAAGAAGAAGAAGAAGAAGAAGAAGAAGAAGAAGAAGAAGAAGAAGAAGAAGAAGAAGAAGAAGAAGAAGAAGAAGAAGAAGAAGAAGAAGAAGAAGAAGAAGAAGAAGAAGAAGAAGAAGAAGAAGAAGAAGAAGAAGAAGAAGAAGAAGAAGAAGAAGAAGAAGAAGAAGAAGAAGAAGAAGAAGAAGAAGAAGAAGAAGAAGAAGAAGAAGAAGAAGAAGAAGAAGAAGAAGAAGAAGAAGAAGAAGAAGAAGAAGAAGAAGAAGAAGAAGAAGAAGAAGAAGAAGAAGAAGAAGATCATGATGAAGAAGAAGAAGAAGAAGATGATAATGATGAAGAAGAAGAAGATGATAATGATGCAGGACCCAGTAACCCCACAAGCAGACCTGTACCCAAGAGACGGAGGACTACCGCCGGAACTTTCTCTTGTAGCGTCGTTATCCGTCAACAAGAAGAAGAAGAAGAAAGAGAAAGGGAAAGGGAAAGGGAAAGGGAAAGGATTGTTGAGGAAGAAGTAGAGGAGGAGGCAGAGGAGGAGGAGGATTGGGGATTGGAATCGGAATCTGAGGGAAATTTCCGATTGAGCGGTGATCGGAGGGTGCCAGTTCATGAATCCGAGGTTTCAAGAGAGAACAGGTCTATTTCTGGAGAGGACCCAGATCAGAATTTGGAGGGTTCAAGAGTAAACGGGTCAATTTCTGTGACGTTATTGGATCCGGATGTGTTGGATTGCCCAATCTGCTTTGAACATCTCTGTGTTCCTGTCTTTCAGGTTTCTTCTTTTTACCCTTTTCATTGCTATTAGGAGTATAAGAATTTACCTGTGTATATATGTTGGAATTAATTGTGTTCGGAGAATTCTTGATTTGCCTTAAGGTTTTTGAATGACATGGTCTTGAATAGAAAGGAATTTGTATTGACATTTATAATCTGACCCATATAGTTTATTGCTCTTAAGGAGGTGTAAAAGTTACCGTTTTTGTTAATCCAACAGGTGGGGTTTGGGAGGATAGAGTTTACGCAGACTTTAGCCCTACCTGGTGGAGGCGGTTTTAAAAAATAAAATACAGAAGTAGAGCAGACATGTCAGATAATAGAAATATGATTACTTAGCATTCAGTATTGCATTGAAAGAGCATAGGAAATGTGGATCTGTTAAAGAGTGTAGTTGGGAGAATTGCTGACAGAGGAATGACTGCTTTAGGTGTTTATCCCATCTCATGTGGTTTGGATTTTGAAGTTATAACATTTCATTCAAATTGGAGAATAACTGGCTAGTGTAGGTATTTGTTTTACTGCTGAAGTCATAGTCTTAATGGCGTACTATTCAAATTAGAGGAAGCACTGGGTTATGATGGAGAATAATAAGACCCTTAAAGTGGGGAGATGGCTACCAGGTTCAATCAAGTTAATCCCATTCTGACTAGAGATTACAAATGGGTATCATTGTAAATGGGTTTCTTCTTTTTACATCCCGATATAATCTGGGCTTAAGTTACTTTGTAATTAGGCTTTTTTCTTGCAAATTATCTGGTGACATAGTTTCTTCCCTTAATGTTATTGTTGTGTTTCCTAAGATCCCTAATACCCAAACCTCCCTGTTCCTTTGGCAATATGACTTTATCCCACTTCACAAGGTGGAATTTATGCTCTTCACGGTTTCCTTCCCATAGGAATGCCCTTCTCAGACCAACTAGTTGCTCTTTCACCTCATATGGCATTGGGATGAGGGACATGATGTAGGTAGGTATGCTGTCCAGTACACTATTGATGGGGTTAGCCTTCCTCCCATAAATAGATATTGCATGTTCCAGTTTGCCACCGTTTTCTCCACCTTTTCCGCTACTCCATTCCATATCTCAGGTGCTTTGTATTTTGCATCCAAAGGGAGACCAAAATAGGTAGAGTGGAAAGAGCATGTGCCATACCCTAGAATTCCGTACCAGGGTATTCAAAATAGACTTCATTGATAGGGTAGATCTGGTTCTTTTAATATGTAATCCAGAGACAGCTTCAAACAGCTTGAGAGTTAGATTGAGATATAGAACTTGAAGAGTCTCTGCCCCACAAAAGATTAGGGTATCAGCAGTGATAGAAGTTATTAACTGTTTACTGATCCTTGTTGGAGATCTATCTGATAGAAGTTATTAACCGTATACTATTCCTTTTTTGGAGATCAATCGTGATAGAAGTTATTAACTGTATACTATTCTTTTGTTAGAGATCTATCGTGATAGAAGTTATTAACTGTATACTATTCCTTTGTTGGAGATCTATTGTGATAGAAGTTATGTACCTAGGCCTCTTTTTAGAACTCTTGGTTTTAGCTCACAGTAACTTCAGATTTAATCTTGTTACTGCATTTAAAAGCATACACAACTGAGGTTCAGATCCTAAGTTCTACATCCTTCTCCTTGCCAGGGTGGTTAATTTCTGTCCTTTTTCATCTAAGAGTTGCAGAATAGCCACTATGGTTTTACTCTAAGGTAGAATGTTGTTATTGTAACAAAATATGACATTTTAATGCATGAGCGTGTTTAAATGAAATTATTGAGTGTTTTGAACGAAGCAAGAAACTTGAAGACCATGACTCTAGGGAAATGACAAATGCTAATATGAAAGGCTAAGTAGTGAAGTGAAAGTGGATGTACGAGTCTTTTGGACCAAGCAAGAAATTAAAGCCATGACTCTAGGTTTATGGCAAATGCTAATACAAAGAGCTAAATAGTGAATTTTAAGTGCAATTTGTTTACGCTTTCCATGTAACACCTTTTTCTTTTTCCCTACTTCTTAAGCTGCGTACTTTGAGAAACCTTGAAGGCAGAGTAGAGTAAGCTGTGATCTGCAAACATTCTAACTGCTTACAATGAACATATTTTCTGACATTCTTTTTTCTTTGTGGACAAAAATATAGTGTGAGAATGGGCATATAGCATGTGCCTCTTGCTGCATCAAGATTGCTAATAAGTGTCCATCATGCTGTTTGCCAATTGGATATAACCGTTGTCGAGCAATGGAGAATGTTCTAGAATCTCTGAAAGTTTCATGCGTGAACAATAGGTATGGTTGCAAGGAGATTCTGAGTTATAGTAAGAACACTGAGCATGAAAATGCATGCATCTATGTGCCTTGTTTGTGTCCTTCCCATGGCTGTGACTTTATAGGTACTTCAGCAAAGGTATATGCGCATTTTAGCGACAAACATGCTTCTTCAGCAGAGCACATTTTTTTCAATGCTGTCCATCCAATTTATATAGAAAAAGATCAAAGGTACAAAATTCTTCAAATGAGGACAGAAGGTATACTTTTTATCATCAACCATGCTAGTGACCGTGGTGGAAGTGCTATCAACATTATCTGTGTTGGACCAGCTAGGCAGAAGAGAAGGTTCTCGTACAAGCTTGTAGTAACAGACGGGGAAAGCTCCTTTAAACTAGAATCTGTTGCAGAGTGCATCCCAAACTGGTCAGAAAATAGTCCTTTGAAAAAATTCCTCGTGGTCCCAAGAGATGTCGTTAATTCCAGTGCTCCGCTGAAGTTGAATGTTTTCATAGAAGAGAAGGAATGAGTCTGCAATGGTTGCACATGTTGATGTACCATATCTTCATGATGTAATCTTGGCCTGTTCATGTAACATTGCCTTGGTAACTTCTTTAGAAATTTTATGCCAATAGACAATAGTCATTGGATTTCTGCTTGCTATATTTGGGGATTTGAATTTGTGCTGTTGAATTTACTTTGTTCCTTATTTTGAAAGGATTTTTCATATTATGTTTGATATTGTTATGCTAGGGTAGTATACTAATTGCATGTTTTGTCAAGTTTCTAAAATAAGCTTATTTTGAAAGCGCTTTTCAAAAAAAGTATTTTTGGTTAGAACCAGTTTATGTTTGACCAATAATTTTTAAAAACACTTATGGGCAACAAGTAGTGTTTAACCAAGCTTTTAAAAGTGTTTTTAAATGTATTTTTCCCAACCGTGCTTTTCAAAAGCGTACTTTTGAGTAAAAGCTATTCTTTTTAGCTTCTGCTACTAAACAAAAATGCTTATTTTTTAATAATATTTGTCCTTGGGATAAATTTTTAATAAGAATAGTTTCTAGACCAAAAGAATGGTTTCTCATTTTTAGTTGTGCTAAATCAGAAAGAAAAGTAGGTGCATGAAGATTTTGCATGCTGAATATGTGATCTGCCTTTATAAAGATATCGACCCATGAGTGAGAACATAACTATGAGATATACTTTTTGTCGAGTACCTCATCTCGAATATAGTAATAATCTACTTCGATATGTTTGGTCCATTCATAAAAGAGTATTGCAGTCAGTAATATACCACCCGGATCATAATTCATTGGGTATTCATTCATAATCTATCATTGCAAATCTCTATTGTCGCGATAAATCCTAACTCGACTCCCAATCATTATCTCTGCCACGGTGCACCCTAGCAACCATGTATCATAAGCTTTGGAATGAAAACCAATACATGTTAGAGATTCTAGGGTGCGTAAAATAGAGTCTTTTGATTGCTCAACCTAGTTCCAATCATATATGTCATTCCTTCATCAACTTTTAATGACAATCCAAAAGTTAGCCAACTTCAACTTGTGCATCCCACCACGTTCAGCATTATCGAACACCAAAACATTATCGTGTTTAGTATATATCACAATGGACCCACCCTTTCTTATGAACGTGTTGAATACCTTTTAAGAGTTGATATGCATATATAGAAACCCACTTCCAGTTCTGATATTGTTGTGCTAGAGTATACTAATAGTTTGCTTGACCAAGCTTTTAATATCAACTTATAAAGTGTTTATTTCAGAAGTGCTTTCCAAAAAATAGTTTTGGTAAGAAGCAATTTGTATTTGACTTTTAAATTTTAAAAACGCCTATGAGCAACAATTAGTATTTGACCAAGCTTTTAAAAGTGTTTTTAAGTATAATTTTTTTCTCAAAAATGCTTTTCAAAAAAGTATAATTGAGCAAAATCTACTTTTTAGCTTTTGAAAAATAACTTGAATTACTCCGAAAAAACACTTATTTTCTCTCAAAAATTTAGATAAACACCTCATTTTTAAAAATAAAAAATAAACATTTTAATTTTTTTTTAACATTTCACCTCCTAAAAGCTTGTCCAAAATTAGACGAGAAAGTTGTGGGGAAATAGAGTTTTACTAATGTCCATGGGATGAATTTTTAATTACTGTAGTCCTTAATTGGATGAAACAGTGGTTGACTTGGATTTCTTGGTATAATAATGTAGCATTATCATCAGATGTGACCATTGATAAACTATTTGATGTTCCTATGTGGCTTTCCGCTCCTCTACAACTACCTTTCGCCCAACATGATCACTAACGAAGACAGAGAATTGCGTAGATAGGAGGACGAAACGAACCAACCCACTTGTCCGGCCTCCCTGCCATCCCCCCTGCCCACACCCTCTATAACGAAAGTACGTGTGGAAACCTTAATCTATTTACTTCCTTCTTTAATAAGATCGAGGTGAGGAGTGACCTTTTACTGGACCTCGAGTTTTCATATCAAGCATGTTTGCCCTCAACTATTCAACTAGATATCTGCTATCTTATACCAAATCAAATACCATAGACATATTTGAAAAGTCATCTAGAAAATCTATATTTACCATATTTACATTTAATATCTGTCTCAAGTTGGTGCATATCATTCATTTTATGATGTTTTTATGTGCCAATTACCCTTACTACTTTATAGTTACTTCTTAATTACTCATTTAAGAAGATAAGGGTAATTTAATTAAATTCCTCTTATTGATTAATGCTTTGAAATCTTAGTGAATGTGTCAAAACCTTGAACATATAGTGACTCAAGACCCTAGCCATGACATAAAATTGTGACACATTTGCTTTTTAATACCAATGATGCTTTTAGTTGTAATCTAGTTTAGTGGTTAGAGATCCACGTTGGTTGGGTGATGGACTGGTGATCTGCTTATATGGACTTGGATAATCCTCCTCGCATGAGCTAATTTTTGGGTTCAGTGAGGCACATGTGTCATATCTTTATTTATAACTCAAGCCCAAAAGCTAGCTTATGAGGGGAGAATTGCTCAATGCTATCATATAAGGAGAGTACAACCTATCCCCTTAATGTGATACTTAACACTCCCGCGGCACCCTCAGGACTCAACTATAGAATGGATTACATTGAAAAATACAACAATGGTGATTGATGAGTCTGACTTTGATACCTTGATCTTCACATGACTCTTGGGAATGTGGGACTTTTTTTTTTTTTTTTTGGTTAAAAGAAGATTTATTTATAAATACTATGCATCCATACAAATCAGGTGACTACTAAAATCTACTATCGGTAGAGCTTGTAGGTACATTACTACATGTGGTGCATTGGGATTCTACCACAACTGATGAAAGTAAAAGGCACAAATATAATGCACTCCAATTGACATAACATGATACATAATGTGACATATAATGCATTTTTATTAATATTAAACTGTTATATTAACACTTCACGTATCAAAATACTTTAAAAATAAAATCAAACGTTATAGGACTAGAATTTTGTTTCGTTATATTTAACCTTTTTATGATAACGTATTTATTGCTTCAACTTGGACCTTCATAAGAGTCAAAGATAAAAATAAAATAAAACTTTTTTTAAAAGATAAAATAAAATAAAACTCAAAATTTATCGAAAGACAACTGGCGAAATTTCCATATTCAAATCTTAAAGATAGAGTACTTCCTCTTCAAACTTAATCTTACCTAACATAAATTTAAATGAGCCGAATTAGTAAATTAATTAATTATACAAATAATACTTGACCAATCTAATAAAGTGGATACTCACTATTAGGTGAACACTCTAGTATGAATGCAATTTGAAACATATTTTTAAATTAATTAATTATAAAAATAATAACTTGACCAATCTAATAAATGGATACTCACTATTAGGTGAACACTCTAGTATGAATGCAATTTGAAACATATTTTAAATTAATTAATTATAAAATAATACTTGACCAATCTAATAAAAGTGGATACTCACTATTAGGTGAACCACTCTAGTATGAATGCAATTTAGAAACTATAATTTAATTAATTAATTATAAAATAATACTTGACCAATCTAATAAAGTGGATACTCACTATTAGGTGAACACTCTAGTATGAATGCAATTTGAAACATATTTTAAATTAATTAATTATAAAAATAATACTTGACCAATCTAATAAAGTGGATACTCACTATTAGGTGAACACTCTAGTATGAATGCAATTTGAAACATATTTTAAATTAATTAATGGATATATATGGAACAAAACCTAACAAAAGTGCACCCACTTGGTTCACAAAGAAACTTTCTTCTATTTTCTCACTTTATTTTCTTCCAGTGTCTTTCCTATTCAAAGCCATCATTTCTATCAACCTTCCTAATACCCTATTTAAAAAGTCAAATTAAAAAACATTTTTTTAAAAAACAAAACATAAAAACAAAAACAAGAAGATGGAAATCACTTGGTTGGTACTATATATTTGGTTGCTAAGTTTGACTCATACTATGTTTTGACCAATTAATATTGACCAATATAAACAAAATCTTATATCAGATAAATTCAAAAGTTTTATAAAAATATATTCGTTCATAACTTATAATAAAATTGATTATACATATATAATCCTCCCTCCATTCACTTTTACTGATCAATTATTCCTAAAATATATTTTCATTTTTATTTGTCACTTTTAACAAATAAAAAAAATATAATTATTTTTTTCCATGTTTTACCATTAACATTAAATATTATTCTCCAAATCATTCTTGAGGATCTAATACTAAACATCAACTAATACCTATGTCGCTAACTAATGACAAGTGAAAATGAACGGAGGTAGTACTGTTAATCTTCAACAACCACCATTTTAGTGTTTTTCCTAGCAACCCCCTCTCACATATTTTGTTTACCAACCATCATTTGTTCCTCTCTATTTATACTCACCACATGATATCTCATCTACCACAACCAAAACAAAAAAAGTTTTATAAGTTCACAACATTTTTTTTATATACATACAAATAAACTCCAACCATTTTATCTTCACTAAAATTTCTTCATTACAAATCTAACCATTTTCTTGATACAATGGCACCATCAATTGCACAACATGGACATATTAATGGAGAAGTAGAAGAAGTGGCATCAATTGCACAAAATGGACATGTTAATGGAGAAGTAGAAGAAGTTTTGTGCAAGAAATCAATTCATGATCCATTGAATTGGGAAATGGCTGCTGATTCTTTAAGAGGGAGTCATTTGGATGAAGTAAAAAAGATGGTGGATGAATTTAGAAAGCCAATTGTGAAACTTGGGGGTGAAACTTTGACAGTTGCACAAGTTGCATCCATTGCAAATGTTGATAACAAAAGTAATGGGGTCAAAGTGGAACTTTCTGAAAGTGCAAGAGCTGGTGTGAAAGCTAGTAGTGATTGGGTTATGGATAGTATGAGTAAAGGTACAGATAGTTATGGTGTTACTACTGGATTTGGTGCAACATCTCATAGAAGAACAAAAAATGGTGGTGCTCTTCAAAAAGAACTTATTAGGTAAACAAACTACTTTTTTCGTTATATACACGGACAATGTAAAGAATTTTTATATTTTTTGTATATATAGCTTATTGACTACCTTGAGTGCTCCACTGATTTTTTTTTCTTTTTGTTTTTACACGAAGGGGTTTCGGATGAATTCAGTTAA